GGTGTGCTATAAACTTCGTAAGCTATAACTATGATTAACGCTTATTAATATATTGACGAAGAACGTTTATAAATTTCGAACATTACAAATCATTCAACTTCAGTGGATTCACATCGGACATTAATACTTTTACGAAAATATTATATAACTTCAGCGGTAAAAGAAACTCGACCTGTAATCGGCGTGTAATCAGCGAGAACCACAGAGCTAGCTACCTCCCTATTAAGTGAATTGTACCTACGTCAACTCGAAATTATCTCGCTCATCGTGAACCCTCGATAAGACATCAAGGAAGTTCCAGACAAGAAAGAAGACTTTATATTGCTTGTAAGTTTGTAAAACGTTTGTATGTAAATCATTGTTTGTAATAATTATTCTTAATAACTGTTATTGTAAATTGTATTGTAGTGTGTATATTAAAACATATTTGTATTAAAGAAGAAACTGTGTGTATCAATCTTGTTGGCAAATATCATAAATTGGATACATATCGGCATATATTCAACTTTTAAATCTAAATTACAATCTAGCTCAATTTCAGGCTACTTGAAATTGTAATACGTAACAGCATCTATTTTTGAATCTTGAGAACACATATGAAATATCATATGAACGATATAATGAGATACTAGTTTTACTCTAACATGATAGTGAAACACATTGCCTTGGCATAATAAAATAAGCACTCTTGCCATATTGTTCACATTGATGATACAAAACTGAGCAGAAACAGGCCCATCATGCCTTTTTCATGTTTCACGGGAATGAAATTATTGTGGGTATTTCGGACAATACCACTGGTTTCAGAAGTGCTTATATTCACATAGCAGGATAATGTAACATATGCATGTTCTTTAATTGGGATGGAGCTTTCTGCATAATCCCCAACAATCACACTTTTTATTTTAACTTAACATCAAGCTTCGAGTTTACAACAATCATTTTGCTATTTTCTTTCAAGCAGAGCTGCACTTATCACTGTATTATAACACAAATAATCTGTATTTATCACTATATCTTAACAAAAATAATTAAAAATAAATGTTCTTTTATGTTTTAGATCTACAAAAGTACTAAAATGCAGACTAGATATAGTGATCAGTAGTGCGTAAAAAAGTAGTTTGTCAGGTGAAAATTAATGTAAATCACCCAAACTCATTATGCACTTGGATGTCGACGGTTACAAAAATACCGACCAACATTCCAAATGAAATCATATCTCACAAACTGTCACCATAACTAAGTTGTTTTTTGTTGTTAAGCAAGCTGTGTTGTTCGCACCGCAAGGATCAAACCCCGAGTTTTAGCGTTGTGGGCCCTGAAGCTTACTAATGAGCCACCGGGGAGGATCTAACTAAATGGCCGCATACTATGTGAGAATAATTTAACCTCGAATTAATTTCATAAGACACTTTCCTCTAAAAAAAAACAAAACAAAAAAATGCTTTTCTCTCTTAAAAAAAAAAAAGCCACTACCCTGATTGCTTATAACGCTAAAAATAGAGTACAGTTAGCCTATTTCGTAGCTTCGTGCTTAACAACAAAAACACAAATCTAAAAAATAAAATTATACAGACAGAAGGATACAATACAGTATAATCTAACAAAAATCTCTTTCGGTTTAAATAACTAAGTAATATATTTTTCTTTTCAAAAGTTCACAGAATATTCATATCAGTATACGAATTTACTTACAATAACATGGTATTTCGTTTTATATATTGAAATATGTTTATGATCAAAGTAGAAAATGTTGAATGTTTTGCATTTGAGCTGTAATGTTATTAATATTTCTTATGTAGGTACAAATAGTTTTCAAAATAATATTTAATATCCAAATTTCATTTTCACGTTTCATCTTAGTAAACATACCAGATTTTTCATTGAGGCACGTTCCTCCGTTCAAACAACGGTTGGGGCGACACCCGTAAGTTGGTTGTTCACACACACTTCCCCGGAAACCTGGCCGACAGAGACAAAAGAAAGACTCATTTGGAGCCTCTTCGCACGTCCCGCCGTTTCTGCAAGGAGCACTAGCACAAATGTTCGCCCGACGAGACTCGCACTGTTTGCCTTGATATTGTAAAGTACAGAGGCAGTGAAAATCATGACCATCATGGTGACAGGTGCCACCAGAATAACATGGGTTTGGCGAACAAGGATTCTGTTGGTACTGACATACTGAGCCAGAGAATCCCTTTGGACAGCTACAGGCAAACTGACGACTGACGGCTGGAGATGTAAAAACTAAAGAAGGGGAGTCCAGGATGGATAAAGATTCTTGCAACTCCAGGAAACTTCGGCATTTTCCATCGTTCTGACAAGGTGAGTTTTCGCAGGGATCGAACCCCACAGCTATTTCGCCAGGACTGACCACTCTTTGAAGTAATCGCTTTTTCTCCGATAATTGAGCAAGAACTTCTTTGGAAGTGATATAAGCTGAGATTCTCGTTTGAATGGCTAGTGTCAACTCCAAATGGTTGCTGAGGTCAGTTATACTGTACAATAGCGGATAACCCAAAGGCTGTAGAATAAATGCATAAAATAAAGAAAACAAAGTATTAGCAATCACATCAGCTGAAATATATTTATGTTTAGCCTTCTATAATGATAATAAAAAAAAAGTACTAAAAGCTATTAAAATTATTTATTCAAAGCCTACTGTGGTAAAGATGGAAAAAGAATGTTAATAATTTGGTGTTTAACTTGAATTGCAAGAAGTGGCAAGAAAGCAAAGAAGTTGTAAAGTTGAAATATATATGCATAATAATACAACCGGGGCTGTAATAAAATGTCAATGATTAAATTGTGGCCATAGCTCATAGCAATGCACATTAATTTCTTTCAACCCTTTCACACGGTACTGGGCATGACCTGGTGATTAGTGTGTCGGGTTATGGATTGGAAGGTCCATGGTTTGCGTCCTGTTTCCGAAAAGAACAATAACGTTCTGCACTTTGGATGCAAGAGTAACAGTCAAATTGTGTGTATTACTTTATTATTATAAATTTGTTTCTTTCTTACGATTTATATAAAAGAGAGACAATTTGTAATAATGGTTTCCATACATCGTTAAACTTTTTGTATCTGCGTTACACTTTTCTAAGAGATACAGACTTTTTCAAACACTTCAAAAGTAAAGTACTGATAACCAAATAACATAATTTTTGTTTATTTACGTTTCGTTTTTATGGGTTTTTTTTTTCATTCTCTTCCGACACACTTGTGGTCAACTTAATGTCAGTTATATAAAAGCCAAAAGAAATTATTATAAGCATACTGAATATCCATATAAACTGAAAACATAAGCAAAAGATACAAATATTACCATAAAGATCACTCACAACATTCAAGTATCAAATGTCAAACAACTTAAATTATCAATCTCTCCAAATATTGCATGGACTGTGAATCCGAGGGTTCATTGGTCACGGACCGTTGCTGCAATTCGGCCAGCTAGTGTAATCAACAACACCCAACGCAAATTTTTGGGTTACACCCAAGAGTTTGCGATGGGTACTGTCAACTAGCCGTTTCCCCTCTAGTCTATCACTTCAAAATTAAGAACATATATGGGCAAATAGTATTCTGTGTGGCTCTGCGCTATAAGTATTAAACAACCAAACTACAAAACTTTGAACTATATATCTGAGTTAACAATTGTCATATATATGTTTCTTTCAGTTCATTAACAATGTGAAAACTTTTACTACACGTACACTACAAGGGTTATATTTATTGTAGAAAAAATCTTTGTATGTATGAAATCTCTAACTATTCACGTTTTGTATATAGATAAAGTACGAAAAAGCAACAAAGCAAATTTACTATATTTTCCTCATTTCATTATAAAGCACTAAATAGAAATTGCCTAAATAAGCTAGCGAACCATTGTACCTTTTATTTGATTTATAAAAACTTAGACATAGAGCATATAAATTTACTATAATAACGGTACGGAAATATCTTTTTTTTTCATAAAGTTTTTCGTTACAAATCTTGGGTCGTTTGGTCCATCAATTTTCATATGATATTTTAGTAAGAACAAGTTTCTCCAGTCAAATGCTTTATATTTCACGGTAAAGTTATTAAGTCTATTTGCCCTCGTCTGTAATTTTGAGCTATTCATCAGATAGAAAGGCAGCCAGTCAGCAATATCCTACCAACAACACTAAGGGATTGGCTGTCACTCTTATAACGCACCCACAGCTTAAAGTGCGGCCAATATTTTGTGGTATCCCCCGTATTTGAACCAGGCTCGCAAATTCCGAAATTCAGAGTTCTACTACATAAGGCCAACGCGCACCTAATACACAAATGATATTTAAAATTGTAGTAAAAGAGGATCCTTTTGACCTTATATTCTTGCACGTTTATTGTTATAAAACTTCGCTTTCAATATATTTCTGCATAAAATATTTGAAAAAACAAATAAACGTAATTACAAAATAAGCCCTACTTGCAGTAAAACTGAATAAATGTTCCAGCACATACAATGATATAAAATAGTGTACAGTTCTATGTTATCATTTCTTTTTTTTAATAACTCATTATTTATTTTTTATGTATAACAATAATTTTCTGTGTTTTTAATTGATAGACACTCAAGCAATTTAAGTGTGATTTCAGTGTCCACTCCACAAACTTTTGTTAGACTTACATGTGCATCACTTAATACTTGTAAAATCTGAAGGTAAATTCTGTGCGACACACTATTACGAAATATGCATAATAATATAAGCGAAAAATAAAATAAATTACAATGATTAAATTGTAGCCATAGCTCACAGCGATGTGAAAGTAAGTAACCTATTAGTGAGCAGGAATTATCGACACACAATATTTAACAAAGAGAGAGAGAAAAAAGAAGTATTAAAAGGGTCAAAATAACTATTGTTATTGTGATATTTTTTACGTTAATGTTTGTTTAGAATATCGAATTAAACAGTGAAAAAGTTTTTAATATGAATAATTTAAAAAATACCCATGGATATCCCAAACGAAAACGCTGTTACTACAATACTTGAAATATAACTAAAGTTTATCTTTACAACCAGGGAGTTGTGAATATCAATATATGTAAAACCAAATATATAGATTACGTGCATCTGAATCCTATTATATTAACGTCTAATACGTGATTATATTTATAATTTATTTGTTAATAATAAAAAAACGTTTTATTTACTCATTACTTTCTTTTTGAAAGAGCAATGACTTTCTGACTGCTCTTTGAAATATATATATTATGATCGTCTTTTACCGAAATAATTCATTTAGATATTCAAGAAAACATTGTGCCATAATAGCTAGTAAATCGATTTACAACTTACCTTAAATAATTCTTTAAGAGCTTCTTGAAAACGATCAAATTTGAGCGCCAAAAAGTTGTCAGTGGAATGATTCAATATACGAAGTGTAACACTATTTTCAACTGTTAGGTCGTCAAAATTCATAAATTGGATCCTTACGGTAGAAGTGACATCTTCGTGCCTTCCATCATTGCCGCTAACAGAAATAGTGTACTCCTGGGGGTCTTGAAGCCTCACTGCGTGAAGATCGCACTTACTAGGGATACGAAACTTGCTTGTATCCCCTTTCACCAGTGTACATTGATATTGCCCTGTAAGATCGGGATCCGAGGGATGAACATCGGCAATTTTACCACCAGGAAATATTTTGTTGTATACCCACACGAATACTGTTAGAGCTCTAGGAGAACTTGGGCAATCATTTTTGTCCATAACTACAACATTTATAGGGTGTTTGGCTTTCATTTGAGGAATGCCGCTGTCATGAACTTCAACCATGAGCTTTATACTTGGCATACTTTCCCTGTCAATGCTCTGAGTTGTTTTCACTAGACCAGTATAGCGGTCAATTTCAAAACATTCCTTGTGATCCCCTCCAATTAGAAAGTAAGTAAATGGTGCTCCATTAGGGGGCAGGTCTGGGTCTGTAGCGCTCAACACCATAACACTAGTAAAAGCCGGTTCGTTCTCCATGACATAACCTACAACATCTGGAGGGTCAAATATAGGTCCGTTGTCATTGATGTCAGTGATTTCTACTTGCACCACAGCAGTGCCAGTTTGAGGAGGACTTCCGTTGTCTACTGCACCGATTGTAAGGTTGTACATTTTGGTAGCTTCTCTGTCCAATACTACTACTGTTATAATAGTACCAGACTGGGCGTCGATACTGAAGACTTTTCCTGCAGTACTGTCCATGATCGAATAGGAGAATTGGTTATTATTAGGACGGACGTCTTTGTCAATAGCAGATACTGTTATAACTGAGGAACCAACTGACGCTGATTCACTGATTTGAACTTCGTAGATATTCCTGGAGAATACAGGAGGATCATTGCCATCTTCAATACTTATAACCACCTGCGCTTCATCAGTGTCATTTCCTTTGATGCTTCCTTTGTTTTTGACCATCACTGCTAATACAACTCGGGACTGCAATTCTCTGTCTAGTCGCCGCGACACAGTGATAATCCCTGTTTCTGATTGTATATGAAAACCTCGACCATTACTACTACCTACAAACAAAAAGAAAACATCGCCATCTGATCCTTTATCTTCATCTGTAGCTACAACGGTGCCTACTGGTGTTCCAATTACTGCTGACTCGCTGACTGTGAATTGGAACACAGTTTGTAAGAAACGAGGATAATATTCGTTTTGGCCAGTTACATATACAATCAGTCTTGTCGAGGAATATTGAGAAGAGCCCGGGTTACTGGCCATCACCTGCAACGCGTACCGATTTCGAGTTTCATAATCAAAACTACTTCTGGAGGTTACCACTCCCGTCTGGCTATTGATACTAAAAGCTTCTTTCGACTCTCCTCTCACGATGGAATACTGGATAATGGCATTCCTTCCTGAATCGAGATCTGTGGCGATAACTTGAGTGATAACAGTGCCAATCGGCATATTTTCAGAAACATGAGTTTCGAAGATCGTTGAATTAAAGATTGGAGGATTGTTGTTTACATCGGTAACAATGACAGTTAGCGTGGCAGTAGCGTGTTTGCTATAAAATCCATTGTCTGAAGCAGTAATGGTCAGTTTATATTCCTGATTCTTTTGATAATCTAGAGCCTTAACAATGGTTACAGAACCTGTTTTTTCATCGATTCTTAGGCACCCATCAGAGTTACCGGACACAATAGCGTATACAACTTCTCCATTTAACCCTAAAGGGAAAGAATCAATACTATTAATTTTCAATATGCTTTTTGTCGGAGACAAAGTAATATAAGATATGTCTCAGGTTTTAAAAGCAATTACACATTTCATTTAAAACATAATATTCTAAATTCAAATATGTGGTTATAGGTACACGATAATTTACTTTCATAGTCAATGTATACTCAACGTTCGACACTTCATTTTAATTTTTTCTACGTTTTTTTTTTGCGCAATAAATCTTCATTTTCATGAAATAATTTTATCTAGTTTTAATGAAGCATTTAAATTTAGCGATTTTATTTTATTTTTGAATTCTATTATCCACCAAAATATTTTTGTTTAATGATTGTATTAGAGTTCCTGGACATTTTTGAAAATTTCGCTTGAAAATAATTCTTGGAAATGCAATGTTATTAATAGAAAATATCATTAAGTGCGGTAGTACTTAATTGTAAGGATCGTGATGAAACAAAATGGCGGCAATAAAAATCGCCCGTTTAAAACCACCTTTGAAATATCTGAATGTTAACAATGGCTATTTCACAATATTGGCTGAACAAAACTAAAGGTTATTGTACTTATAAAGCCGCCTATATCGCTATATATATGTTTATGGAATGAATCAAAATTTCACTATTTCAACGCATTTTCATCTAAGTGAGTGAGTGACTTTTCCAGACAAGTGTATAGAAAAAATTACAAACCTTATCGCTTTAATTATTTTACAAAACTCTTCCATCTGAGGTCCCAATTATTCCTTTCTTGTACTACATGATACGCTACTTTGGGCATGTAATTAGATTTGAGGGTACGTTGGTAGAGATTCTGATGAGTAATCTGGTGTAGAGGTTATGCAGTCACGTGACCAAAGTAACCACAGCAACAATTTTCGGCCATATTGGACGTAAATATTAATCATTTTAACATGGCCTCCGCTACGCAGTCACCTAGTTCCCAGTTCATTTTTCACGAATTTACTAGCAAGTTAAATAATATATGCAAGTCAAGATATGAAGAAAAGTGCAAAAAAATCGGTCTTGACAAGACAGATTCTTATTCTATTCCGTCAACAATAGCAATCGCGCTGGATGCCAGTTAATTAGTCGACATTGCAAACGAAGAACCTGAGTTAGGCCTACAAACCAACGTTAAAGTCCTACAGGTTGAGAATATAGTTATCTTAAATTCTTTAGTCCCGACAACATCTTTTTACACCGGAAAGCAGTTCAAGACCTATAAAAGTCTTGATGCCCACAAGTGTTTTGTATCTGGCTGGGTACATGATGTCAGACTGTGGAAAGTGTACAAGACGTCCAACTACATAGTTTACTCGAGGGTAAGTCGAAGTTGTTTTTAGTGACTAGGCCTATTGTTTATGTTCTATCAGTGGTATATTTACAATATAAATATACTACATCGTATTGTATTGCATCCTCCTGTCTTGTAAGACCACTTTCTTCAGTACATATTACCATGTGTTTTTACACAAATAAACCCTGGATTTTAAGACCACCTGTCTTGACAAGTCACATCTATATAAATGTAATATAGCTGTCTGTTGTCAGTCCATGTAGCTACTTCGTCCTCTGTAGATGGACCTTCACCAAATTTGGTTGGGAGGTCCATGGGGAGATCGATACAAATTTTCAGTTTGACATTTTGTGTTTTGCTGTTTTTATGGGCGTTTTTGCGTTTTTTACAATTACATATAAGGAAAGAAACCTTTCAAGTCCTAGGATAACTTTTCATTAATCATGAATTTACATAACTTCCGTTCAGGGGATGGGTACTACAGCTAGTTTTTGATAAAACTTTATTATCGCCCACTGTGCCCTTCCACATAGCTCTGCTTGTGTGGGCCTGTATCGTAGTATTTAGATCACGGGAAGCATCAAATATTTACAAGCTACAGATTGTATCAAGATCTGTGCAATATAATTGTGACAAGGTACATTGTACATACAAATAGTACTAACCAGATATAAAAGGAAAACTGCATAGTCTATGGTACGACAATCGTTTCCAAGCTTTGTCAATGTTGTTCGGGTCTGCACGTTTTACTGCTGTTATAGTTGTTGTTGTTTGTTATTAAGCACAAAGCTACACAAAGGGCTATTTGTGCTCTGCCCACCACGGGGTATCGAAACCCGGTTTCTAGCGGTATAAGTCCGCAGATATGCCGCTGTGCCACGGGGGGGGGGGCTTTACTGCCGCAGTCTATTTAACTCTACATACTAGATTTTTTGGAAACCTATAAAACTATAACTCCAGATTCTTTGTCTGGTTGTTTGTACAACCAACTGCCGCATAGCTGATTGTCATTTCAAATACGTGATCCCGAATTACAATACCAGCAACTACATCGTGATTAATAGATTGACTCTCTGCTACGTCCAAAATGGCGGTGTTTACTTTTTGGCTTGCCGATAATATATGCATGACGTCACAATATGCACGCTTCATGCTTGTTATTGCTAGCGCACAAAATATAGCTGATAAAAAGGAAACAAACAAGTATAATAAAAGAAAAATTAAAGTTTTATAAACACAAGTAGGGATCGATATATACGTAACCTAGCTAGTTAAAAGATTTAATGTTACAAAAGGTATCGAACGAAGAAAGTCAACACTGAGTTCCTACTTTGGCTCAGGCTAACATAATTACAGTGATTAGCAAAAGTAGGGATAACATTTTTTAAATTTTAAGTAACTCAGTTTTTGTAGTTTTCGGTTTCTTGTTTCAATACTTTTTGTAACATTAAAACTTTTTATATTACTATAGCTAGCTAGGTTACGTATATATCGATCCTTACTTGCCTTTATAAAGTTTAGAATTTTTTATTGTAAGTGTTATATTTAGAAAGCAGAAAGTCTCATATAAAATCACGATGTTTTATATAATGCATGTACCATAAAATCGTACTGCACTGGATTGTTTTTTCAGCTGGTATATGTAACGATACAGTAGCAGTGAAGCAGAAGAATTGTCTGAACATACATATATATATATATATATATAGGTGACGTTTAAACAAGCTTACAAAGCACGTGCTTAGAGAATCTCCAGGAACAATGAAATGAGAGTTAGCAGTGGTAACTTTAAACATATAAGAAAATAAGACACTCAACGTTCAACTGCTCTGGTTGTATTTGATTTTAGAAAATGTATTTTGCAACTTACACTCATAAAGCTATTATTTAACATCCAGTGATTTAAATTTGTGAGTCATTAAAATCTGCAATACTTTTATTGTTCTTAATTTTATCACATCAATTTATTCATTGTTCTGTCTGTGCTGTGTCTGTCGTGGAGATGGAATTTTCATTTCTAACGTTTTAAGTCCCCACCAGAGAACAAGTTGCAACACACAAAGATAACAGCGTCACGCTTTACAGGGGACAAGGAATCAGTGATAGTGCAAAAAGAAAACATCGATATATCGTGAAAAAAAAAAGCTTAACATTAACTAAAGCTTTAAAGCTACTGGATATAGACATAAGTTCTAAAAACAATGAATACTTTATTTGAGGTAACTTGTATATTTGATATTAAATGTAACGTAGTATTTAATGCACTGCACTGTATCGTGTTTATCCTGCTGGCATCCACAAACGTTTGGACCTCGGGTAAATTTTCAGTCTTGTTTCGGCCATGTGGTGAAACAATATCTTTATATTCTTGTAAGTTATGCGTACATCATATGTTTTTCCTATTAAATTTTTCATAAGCGACAGCAAGGCAAATTATTGACTAGAGGGTTTTTAATTAGTCAAACATTTCTCGTATAATCTTTTTACAAAACAGTATTTTATATATTTTATCATTAATTTATTGTTTACTTTTCTATTACTTATAAGAAAAATAACAAGAAACTGTCAATGTTAGTCAAAGCTGGAGCGTAATCGTACATGTAAATATTTTGGCAGTATTTATTTATTTTCATTAGCATTTACAACTTATACATGTCTTTTGGTGACTCAGCGGTAAGCTTGAGGCTAAAAATGCTGAAATTCCTGGTTCCATTCCCGTGGCGGGCACATCGGGGATAGCCCATTGTTTAGATCTGCACATAAGCAAACAAATAATCTAAGGTATACTTGAAGAAGAAAAGCCTAACCGTATATATCATGAGTACACTAATCACGATTTTTATGAACACAGATAAGTAGATAACTGAATACTTATTCTTACAGTAAAGCATATATATATTGTAATGTTAAGTAGCAAACCAACATAGAAGTCATTGAAATAAGATCTGCAGTTTTTGTAATTATAAACAATAGTATTAAAAATTATGAATTTTAAAATGAAGTTGGGATCCTGCTATAAATAATAATGAAACAAGAATTAAAATTAGAATTACAAATTTATTTTTACCATTTATATTATACACACACACACACACACACATATATATATATATGGATTTTTATCGGAATATTAAAAGCGGATACCCATAGACCAGTCAAGTAAGCTGGAGAAATCTTGTAGCGATAGTCCAAGCCATCTAGGCGCTAGTCCCGCTGACGTGATCAGGTAAGTAGGTAGTAGACGAAAAAGTTGTTGTTTTATAAATTTTTATACTAGAAATATTAGCGTCCTTTTTAGCGTAATATTAGTATATGTGCGCATAATATATCGTAACCAATACTTTGAATGATCGGTTTTTCGCTTATAAATTCGACGGGATGGTTTTTCGGCGCGTGAATTATTTGTATTCCTTGTCGATCCCTACTATTAAGTACTACCGTACTTAAAATTAACCCAGTATGTATCGAGAGTTATAAAAGGATTAGAAAATCGTTGTATTAACAACACAAAAGAAATACGAGAGGTTAAACAAATATGTATTTAGTAGGTGTTATAGAGTAATGATGGATAACATAGAACAGATTTTAGCATAATTGAACAAATACATATGTAAAATTAATAAATTATTTCTAAAGACACATATTCTATATAAATACCTTTTCCAGGAACGAACCAAAACGGATTTAGTAAAGTAGCTAATTAGTATAAAGTATTTACCACTTTAACTACGATGTTAAATACAGGGTGAGACTTGTGTGCATTTCATATAAGAAAGCGAAATTATTGTTTTACATTAAAATTAAAGTTTCACTTTAATTCTTTTATGAATGTGAAAGTTTCATAATATTTTCATAAGTAAACGTTGGAGTTTCACGTTAATAATTTGTAAGAAAATGGAAGTTTCACATTTTTTGTTTTATAGAAAGCGGAAAGTTTTACTTTTTGTCTGGCATGAAAATGGAAGCATCATATTTATTTCTCAAATAAAACGTTTAACAGTGCTTGTATTTTCACGTTACCTTCTTCTGAGTCTGCAGCTGTCACTGTGATTATTTCTGAGTTAAGTGGCTCATTCTCAGCAACGATCACTTGGTAGCTAAGAGCTGAAAATACAGGCGAGTGTTTGTTGTCTCCGGTTATGATAAATGTAATTACGACCTCCGATGACTTGGGGGGTACTCCTCTGTCTATTGCCCGCAGCTTCAGCATGAACCATTGGTCTTTGAGTCCTAGGAGGCTGTCTCCAACAGTCACCCATCCTGAGAAAGTTAACGTTAGCTCATTAATGGGTGTCAAGAGACTAATTAAAGTTCATAGATAAACGAATGAAAAGACGCTGAAGTTATAAGAACGAAATGATATTTACAACTTCACAGGATTTTGCTAAGATAAATATTATTCATCTGTAATTGTTCATGTATTTCAATCAAAGGTCACATAGTTCCATTGTTTGTTGCTACACGATTTCTCGCTTATTAAGAAACGTTTATCGCAGAAATTTCAGGTGGAACAAACTATATTCTGTGCTCGATATACAATCATCAACAATAAATATTAAAGATAATACATCATGATGTTAATTTAGTTAGATAGTTTGCATACTCAAGGTAAAGAAGTCTCGAGACAGTACTTAACAAATTAACACGTTCTGACTTGTCTCTCTCTTGATATATATACATATATGAATATATGGTAATAGTAGTAACAAACATTCAAAAAACGAACTTAATATCATCATATTTAAGTAGGCGAAAGTTATCAACAACTACAAAACAATAAAGACAAAACATAAATAAATACATTAAATGACATATGACAAAATGACCTATAAAGTCACAAGTTGTATCACTGAGTACCAGCGTTCAAAAAGCGTTGAAGGTAGTCCGTCTCTTGAATTATACACCAATGTGGGAAAGAATCTTCTAGTACACATGCTTATCACTCGAAATTCCCGATTTATTTCAAAAGCACAATTTGTAATTAAACGTTACCTTGTACAATTTTTATAATACAGTGTTAAGTAGAATAAGCATAAGGGCTAAAGACTCAAAAATATGAGTAGTGATATACAATTTATCCTCTCATGTAAAAAAATATAAATATATTACAATTCGCCTATTATTTCACAGAAAAATTCTTAAAAACACAAAACAGCAAATTATAAACTACGGAAAAACACAAAAATCAGTAAGTAAAATAATGATACAAAGAACTACCACAAGTTGTGTAGCATTATATTTTTATAAATGCAGTTGAAATATATTCTGTATTTTATTTGTCTTTAGTTGTCGCTGTTTTAGAATGTTGGCGCAAAGCTATATAAAGGCTATCTGTGTACAGCCGTTTCACGCTTTTACTTGCTACTTAACAGCACCCACTATTAACTCTTGAACTACTTTTGCCCCACCGAACAATGATATTTGGCAGTCACTTTTATTGCGCACCCACAGCCCCAAAATGTGGAGCGAGTTTTTAAAGCAACGGGGCGCAAACCATGAATTTTTTGGAGTCACCATTTTGGCACGCTATATAATACTTGGCTACGCCAGTTCTATTTGATTTCAGAGACAAGCAGTACGAATAGATTAAGGTTATCATTGAAACTTTTCTAAGACAGCGGCTTTGACGACTTACTACTATAGGATCTAAATTTGTCACAGTTTTATATATTTTTGGTCGAATTTATAGTGATAAGAAAAAAAAACGTTCAATAAGTTATACAATTATTTATTTGTATTAAATATATATATATATGCACGGAAAATTTAATTGCAATATTCAACTAGTATATAAATTTTAACGCTGCTAGATGTTTCTTGAGGAGGAAATAACAATAATTATAAAAAGAAAGCTACTTGTACTAATGATGTTTAATTTGTATCTGTAGACGCAGTTTTGCAGAAAACCCTCGTAGTTGAGGATATAATAAAACAGTTAATTTTAAACGGTACATGAAATTTTAGGCAAATATCATCCATCGATCCATTTACAAAAGAATATATAAATATATATCACAATCTATACGTAATACACATATTACAGAATAATTTAAAACACACCTGAATCTAGGAAGATAATAGATTATTCCCATTTCTAATAAATTGAACATCTGTTACTTATAATAATTTTGTGGTACATAAACATATATAAGGTTATTAAATTGACACAATCGAATCAACTACACAATTTGAAAACAAAATAAGCCAAATCAATTCTTTTTGCTGATATATTCTGAGCACTTTTCTCAAAGTCACTAGAAACACTTAGTTCAGCTGGTACAGCACTTTCAGAAATTAGAAAAAATTACATTATAATTTTCCTATCTTGTACACAGAGCTACAAATATTAGGAACTACGTATGGTGTAAACTATATAAACCATTGGTCATTATTGCATTCATGTACCGCCGAACTCTTATCAATATTGTATAAAAGTGCTATAAGCTATCTGAAAGATGGCTTTCCATTATCTAGAAATTCATCGTTTATTTTCATACGTTTCGTAGATTATTTTTAATTTAATAGTGAGAAAAAAAGGCAATACATCCTGTTTTGTTAACCATACGACACATTGTCATTGATTAGCTATTTATAAGTACCACTTACGTGATCGTCATGAATTAGTGTCTTAAATATTATATATAAGTACTAACATTTTTCATTCAGGTGTAATATAAGCTATAAAATTAATTTAAAATTTGTTACTGAAGATAATAGAGAAGGTTAGTTTTTCGAGAACAATCGGTGTAGTGTATTGCGTTTTCACACAAAATGAACTTAAAAGCTTGGTTAATTGCTGGTTGGTACTTTGTAACTAGTGTTTTAAACGCAGATAAATATACTAGCGAAGTGCTAGTAGGTCAATTAACTAACGGAAGATATATCCTCTAGTATCATCGTCCAACCAATAGCAAGTCAATATCAACTTAACATATAGGAATGAATAGAACATGTTATTTTTTCTAGAATAATAATACAAGTTCATAATATAATTTCATCGAAGAGAAAAATTATAATTCGTCTTTTTTGGTTACAGGAGATGCTCGTAACAAAATAACGAAAACTGCATATAGTGGCACATTTTATATTCAGTATTTGTTGTGTGAATCTGATATTTAATAGATATTTAAACCGAAGTATATATTCGGTAGCATGTGATATTCCGTTTTATTTTATGAAGAAGATCCTCTTATAGATTTGAAGTGCAACCAAATAATCTCACTGAAGTTTAATGATATATAAATGTAAATGTACTAGTTGTGATTCTAGGTACACTAGGTGGTTAGAAACACGAAAAAAAACATGCAAAGTTAGTGGCGAATAATGTATTGAAGTGTCTTGGTGAATGTGATATTTTCACATCACACAAAATACTGAAAATATCTTCTAGAGGACGTAAGAAAACAATTTACGTATGAAAAAACCGTGTTTATTAAAAAAACCGAATCCAGAGGTGAACGAGATGGGTTCATCAACAAGGTTGTTATCAACGCCTTAAGGATTATTAAAAAAAACGCTTATTTTTCACATTTATGGTTTACAAATCTAAACGTTTAAACAGATCTATAAATTATTAAAAAAATCGGTAAGTGCAATAAAAAAACCCAATAAAAACAACATATATATATATATATATACTTTAAGATAAAACAGGTTCTATTATAAAACAATGTAATCTACTACTTGCTGTTTTCATTGATGTGACAAATATGTAATAAACACAGTAACCATATTTATACAAATCTAGAAATGTTATACTTTGAGGGGAATGAAAATTGCCTGACAGTAAAGACATTGTAATTTCACACAATCTATTAGAAGAGTTTTTAATGCATTTTTTATGCTTTTCGAGCCCGAGCAACAAAATAACAGATTATTGAATTAATCAGTTAAAAAGTAGGAAGAAGGCTATCGTTATCTTATATCATCTTGCTCTATTGCCTGAGTTGAAATTCATCTCGTTATTTCATTTCTTTGAATATCTTTACATATTCACGTATTATAATTGTTTCACAAGCAGAAATATCAGTAAACCGTCGAGAAGTCAATACAGATTGACAAAACGATTAGTTTATTAAATATTTAAACAATCTGCTTTTCATTATTAAACGAATGATTCTTTAAAAGGTCTGTAAAACGATCGGAATCATGTGTATAATTATATTGTTACCTCTTTCACTAATCTAGTTAATGTGGCGCAGAGCACTTAGAAACTATTTGTAACAGCTACGGCTTTTTCTCTATTATTTGATTTCCACATACCATAATGTTTTACGAACCTTATTCTTACAAGATTGATCAAAAGCATATGGTTTTAAAACAATAACAAAGCATTTTTACATGGCACGCAGAAGCGTTATTGTATATTACAGAAAAGTATACTCAGAAAAAAATCAAATAATATTTCAGAAAGTCGTAAGCATAACAATAATACTCAAAATATTGTCATGGTAGTGCCAAAATCAGTAGATGAAAATAAAGTAAGGCAGATATTTAGAAGACAAATGAACGTGTCGGTTTAAAGTAAGATGTATACAGAGAAGAATGACTAAAATGTTGTTGTGAAATACATCTGGTGAAGATAGAAGTTTAAACTAACCTGTTGATTTATGAATGTTAAAATAATCCGTTCCATTTCCCCCTGCTTCTAGGTATTCAATTTCTGCATTTATTCCCACATCCTCGTTGTCTTTGGCAATGACTTGAAAAACAGAACCCCCAACTCTTATGCTGTCCGGAACCGGAGAGAAATAGTAAGGTTTCTCAAAACGAGGAGGATTGTTGTTGGAGTCCACAACGTTAATCACTACTGTAACTTCTGAAGACAGAGGAGGTTTCCCTTGGTCTGTAGCCCTTACTTGAACTATGAACTGGTTTTCTGGAGAAACCCTAGACGAAGTACGTTTATAGTATATTACTTGCTTGCTCAGAATTTCGCCCGTTCCAGGGTCAATTCGGAAGAAATCAGAATGCGTTTTAAAGAATATGTAATGAATGAATTAGGTCCGTGCTTGTCCTGATCGGAAGCAGACACTTGTCCAATAAATGCAACAGCATGTTGAAGCTCTGGAAAATTAAAGGTGTAAATATCTTCCTTAAATTCAGGTGCGTTATCGTTTACATCTTGAACAGAAATAGTGAGTGGAGTCTCTGCTCGCCAGGAACCGTCCACGGCTGCAACCTTTAAAAGGTATTCGTCCCGCATTTCTCTGTCCAACTTACCGGCTACAGAGACGTTTCCTGACAGCGGATCAATATGGAACTTTTCTCCAGGGTTATCTGTAAAGCTGTACGTAGCATTTGCATTCATACTAATGTCCCGGTCTGAAGACGTTACCTGGATGACAAAAGATCCTAGCGGCGCGTTTTCGGTGACATTGACACTGAAGAGCCGCGTGAAGCGTGGAGGATTATCATTCTTATCTAAAACTGTCACAAACACAGTGGCTGTACCTGTTTTCTCAGGTAAGCCGTGGTCAACAGCCTCAACAACGAGTTTATACAATTCCAAGGACTCTCTGTCGAGTCTAGCGTTCGTGAAGATCTCTCCCGTTTTGGAATTCAGGATAAAAGGGTTTTCATAACTCCCAGACTCAACAAATTTGTATGAAACTTTTCCATTTTCTCCTTGATCAACGTCTTCTGCATGAACAACGGTCACAAATTGTGGTGGATCTTGTTCTTCCATGACAGTAGCATTAAAAACTTCTGAATTAAATAATGGCATGTTATCATTGGCATCTGTAACCTGTAAAGTCAGTTTGACAGCAGCACCAAGAGACGGATAGTCACTATCTCGTGCTTCCACCCAAACTTCGTACTGATGCATCATTTCATAATCCAAGCCGCTGGTGATGCGAACTTCTCCAGTTTGAGAATTCACAGCTAAGGCTTCCCCAAGGTTACCACCTGCAATGCGATACAATATAGTTCCTTTACCTTCAGGTTTAGGGGATGTTGCCGAAACGGTTGTCACTACAAGATTCTCCGTTGTCTCTGAGAAAACGAAACTTCGGATTCCTGAACGAAAGCGTGGAAAAAGACTTGTGGGCTGAAGGTAGACTTTGACGCTTGTATTGGCCGAAAGGGGGGATGTACTACTATCTGTAGCGTAAATCTCTAATTTGTATCCTTCTTCTTTACTGACCAGCTTCTCGACTAGCTTGACTACTCCAGTGTCTTGATTGATTTGGAATTTATCAGCGTCCATTCCAGACAGATGGTAAACTAATCTACTGTTTACACCAACGTCAGAATCATGAGCTTGAGCTCCAAAAACGAAATGCCCTAGTACAAAAATAATAATAATAATCTGTATTAAGAACTGTTTAAGAAATTATAAAACATAGTAAAATCTTGGAAAGGTGAATTTATATACATCAGTAAAATATTTTAGCGATGTAAACCGATAAGAGACTGACGAAAGTTTAAGTATTTGTCACAAATGTTATATTTGTACACAAATAAATTAACTCCTACTTCGAAGTATCGAAAACCTAATTATCATATCATATCCTTTGTAATTAGAAATATATTAGAAAAAACGTACTTAAAAATTCATCTCAATAATTTAGAATATATATATATATATATCAAAACCTTTTAACTTGAATAAAAAAGAACATCTTTGCATCTAGAACTTTATCTCTGATAAGGGAAGTATACATGTAGTTGGACTTACCACCTGCTGCACTATCGGGAATGTAAACAAGGAAACCATCTTCCATAAACGTAGGTTTGTTGTCATTCTCATCTTCCACGTGAATCGTAATGTTAACACTTGAGGAATGTTCAACAGATAGTCCACTATCCCTGGCTACTAGGGTCATCTCATATTGGTCAGTTTCTTCTCTGTCTAAGGAAACTCGGGTCAAGATGGCTCCCGTAAGAGTATCAACAGTAAATTTATCGAGATGATCTCCAATCAAGTTGTATCTAGAAAAGATAAGACGAGACAAATATTTTCTCTTTCGATCAAGGATGAGTGTATATTAATTATTGCAAGTAGCAGTATTCTAAGAGTTTATTTATAAATTACAAAATATGTAATTTTGAAATGCATTGCTCTTCATCGTCTACTGCAAAAATAATCAAAATGGCGGAAGTATACATTTTATAAACCAACCTATAGAAACAGTATTTGCAATATCAGAATAAGTCTGTCAGTTTTTCAATATTATATAATTACGTCCTAAGTGCGAAAATAAAGTGTTGAGTTCCTATCTACTCGCTACAAATAGTTTTGTAATAAATATTCTACCATTATTAAGTAAAACAGTGTAAACCAAATTCCTGGTATATGTTCGAATGTTTGTTTGTTTGTTGAATTTCGCGCAAAGCTACTCGAGAGCCATCTTCGCTGGCCGTCGCTAATTTTAAGATGATAGGCTAGAGGGAAGGCATCTAGTTAACATCACCCATCGTCAACTCTGGGGCTACTCTTTACCAGCGAATAGTGGGATTGAGTGTCACATTATAATCGCCCCCCCCCCTTGGCTAAAAGGACAAACGTGTTCGCTGAGGGGATTCGAACCCATGACCCGCAGATTACGCCCCTAACCACCAGGCCTCACGCTCAATTGAAATCCAATGTTTAATATATTTGTGAATATTGATATACAGTATATTATAAAATCAATTTAAAGAAAAGGTTTTAGCACAGTTTTTATTAATAGTAAAAATGAGCTAGCTTCGAAATTTCTAAGACGTTTGTAAGTAGGTTATGTCACTTTTTTATTTTATACTGTTTTAATCAAATCTGGTAACAAATCAACGATAGCTCATCTATATTTCATGATAAATTTTTGGTCTACCAATACAGATACAACGATGCTACTATCACATAACAAATATGAAATCACATGAAGGACATACAACATATAGATGAGAGTATAACTACAATTATCATTAATATTTGACCTCTCATATAAAGAATAAAAAGATAGAATTTGTTGTAGTGAAAGTGTTCCAGAAATTGCTTTGGATCTTTTAAAAGCTACTGGATGTTGTTTACTCTTCAATGACAAAAAATCAATATTCAGATAGTACACCTAGAAAAGCCTATAAGATTAACATAAACTACTTGTGCTCTCCTGAGGGGTTCAAAGGTCCAAGTGTACTGATCCAACAACTTCGTTGTCCCCAAGTGCTTCTTCTATATCCACCTCAAGAGGGCATGTACCCAAAAACAAAACCGTTAGGACATCCGACACATTTGACCCCGGTAGTTTGTGGGTGGGGGTATAAATGCAGTTTCAAATATGGCACTCCAGGATCCCCAGGGCGGGGCTAACAACACAAAATCAGATTCCAGATTTGGGTTCAGCAACTCTGAAAACAAAGTGCTAGAACCACCTTCAGCTACACGAAGTTCACTAAGAGTGTTTAAGAATTTTCGAAATCCCAGTGATGGTCTGTGATTATATCTTCCTTTGGAAGATTTTAATACCTATTCTGTAAGATCGAATCTTACTTGTTTCGCATTAAACAAGCTTCAGGTTATCTAAGAGAGAGAATGAGTTTCTTACGAGCTGATTTTTTTGTAGGTTAAGAAATCATAATTTTGTTCTAAAACTTTCGATTTGGTATTTCAAATCAAAATTACATCTAAGTCGAAACTGAATAAAACTTACCAATTTTCCAATACTCAGAATCACTTTTCACTATAGAAATTCACGAAGCATCATAAATACTTCTAATAAGATTTTAATTTTGAAAAATAAGATCATGGTTTTGTTATAATGAAAATTTAATGGAATTTGTGAAAGCATGCTCGTAGTTTTCAGAGTAATTCACTATGTTCTGTAGAAAAAAAAAAAGAAATGAAAAAAATGTAGGCTCCTGGTAGCAGTAACAATTCAGAAAATTCAATAGTTTGGTGATATTGTGTGTTACTTTATCACTGATTTGGTGTGAATTATCTCATACCATTTATTTTTGCTGTAAATTTGTTCGGTCTTCGAAAATATGTGCATCAAAAAATTCCATGTATCATATATGTATATACAAAAGACTTAATGAGCAAAGTACTTCTAAGATCTAGTCATTTATACACACCCTTTACAAGTATACATGCATACACACACACACCATTTTAGAAGTATACGTGTATATATATACACGCCATTTACAAAGATACATATATATATATATATACACACATATACACGCACACCTATGTATGCTTATAGATAGATATTATATGGTGTAAAAGATATGATGAAGGCTAGACAATAATTGTAAATGGGGTTGCCATGTAAGATGCCCTTACAATTATTTTTATTCATACCTAGAAATGCCATAAATTATCCAACCCTATTATGTTCACGAGGTGACATCAACCAGAGCGTCTCAACTCAATCTCTCTGGGAAGACAAACACTTTTTCTTTGCAAATGTGTCCAATTTAGTAGCGGCAAGGACACACATCAGAAACCCAACAGTGATTCGATAATTTTCCGACCTAGGATGTTTCTAGCAATTAACCAAGGAAGATTGATTGATTGATAAAATTTCGACATTGAGATTTAGATGAAATGCGCTACGCACCTGAGAAGCCCGTTTCTTCCTGAATCTTCATCAGAAGCAGCGACTAACAGAACCTGGGAGCCAGCCGCCAAGTTTTCCTTCACGTTAGCCACGTAACGACTTCTCTCGAACGTGGGCTTATTGTCATTCACGTCACTGACCATGACGGTCACTGTTCCTGTACCAGTCTGGCGAGGAGTCCCTGAGGGAAAGAATGACAAGCTTCAGTTCCTCTCCTGCTCAGATTATGTTTTTTTTTTTGTCAAGAGATATGTACTTATTTCTTAAGGAATAGATAACCTGACAACATATCCAAAGCTTTAGTAGTTAGAAAATAGTTGAGCACGTAATGCAAAATTTAACGACATTGTTCGGCAAGTTAGCTGGGTTAAAGCTTGGCTTAAGTCCTCCAGATTATGCTATATATTACGTCAGGCAAAGGTATTTACTAAATTCTATAGTAGTATATGATTAGTTGCTTTTTAACAAGAATACAATTCAAGAAGTGAGTAATCTTACGCTATGTCTCTTTGAACAATTAGGATTAACATTGACACTTGCAGTTATTGAAAGGAAAAAAAATAAAACCTATATGTGTTTTAATTTGGTGTATTTTTTTAGATATATTGATTATTTATAATATCTTATTACTGAAGAGGGTGTGTTCTCTATTATATTTTTCATACGGTCTTAATGCTGTTTCCCTTTTTATTTCCACAAAATATTGATCCACTCATGAATATTCTTTTAACTATTTCAAAAACGTTTACGCAGGGTATTTCATTGATTAAAGAAAATCCATATAGGGGGGAGGTTAATAAGAAATATATATACATATTACAATAGACAATCAAGATCAGATAGACCCTTTCCCTCCTTAGTTGTAAGTTTCTCACTTCAGTTGTTTTCAGATCACAAAATATAATAATGCTATGCTTTTATCTCTCTAATGAGCATTGTTTACATGTTCAATGTCTTTAGATAACAATTTTTTTTGCTGTTGTAATATTTAGTTGAAGCTGATTTTTCCCACTTCTGTAGCTGCATGCCAAGTAAACGCTAATGAAAGTGGTGCGTGGCGCCATCTGTTACATACAATTTATATACATTACCAAGCAAATATACTTTGTTCGTTTGTTTTTGAATTTCGCGCAAAGCTACATGAGGGCTATCTGCGCTAGCCGTCCCTAATTTAGCAGTGTAAGACTAGAGGGAAGGCAGCTAGTCATCACCACCCACCGCCAACTCTTGGGCTACTCTTTTACCAACGAATAGTGGGATTACCAGTCACATTATAACGCCCCCACGGCTGAAAGGGCGAGCATGTTTGGTGTGACAGGGATTCGAACCCGCGACCCTCAGATTGCGAGTCGAGTGCCTTAACCACCTGGCCATGCCGGGCAAATATACTTTGAACAAGAATTAAAGTATCCAAAAAAAGTGATCTATTACATCTTACAATTTCTTAACTTTAATTATATTGAACTTGGAAGTCTTCTAAAGGATATGAAAAATTTCAAGTTCAATGGTTGTTTAGAAGCAAAATTTCACGAAAATCATCTTTGCTAGGAAATGATCAATTACATTAATGAACAAAAAATCATGTTGTATGAAAGATACAATTCTAAGAAAAGCTGGCCTACAATGGATTACATAAATTGTATAATAATAATAATAGTTAAAATCTCAAACCGTGAATGCAGTTTAATGTATGTTGTATGACATCCTTTTCACTAAAAACAATATTAACTTTCACATGAAAATTTTCGCAATCATTATTATTAATATTAATAATAATTAATATTAATTTAAATAATAATATTAATAATTAATTAATATTAATCTAGATAATTAATATTAATAAATAATTAATATTAATTTAGATAATAATATTAATAATTAATTAATATCAATTTAAATAATAATATTAATAATTAATTAATATCAATTTAAATAATAATATTAATAATTAATTAATATTAATTTAAATGGTATATACATCCTAGAAGCAAATATATAGTACTTTATTATTTAGATTTCAAATGACATAGAAACGTAAAACACAACAAAATTCTTCAATACATCATTTTCCCCCATGATAACTGTTAACCATCGAGGCATTACGTAACGGATACAAACATTTTCAGAGGAGCAATCGTCTATTGCTTATGAAGAAATTCTATTTTTATGATATCTTTATAACATGTACATAATATGGTATTTTCAACTAGAACGACATCTTACGCAGATCAGAAACCCCGAGATTCAGGCACAGCAGTCCTTAATCTAGAACGTTTGACTAGAAGGAGGGAAAACATTCAGAAGCTTCCACGGATACTCTGAACCGAAACAAACAGCATCCATAAAATATGTATGTATTTTAATTCAACAAAACAAAAGCAACATCAATTATACTTTCATCTCTTTCAGGCTGCTTTGTTCTCCGTATCCATAACAAAAATGAAGGTACCTTTGTTTACGTAAAATTGATTTGACTAGATTTCTAGACAACCATAAAACCAAACGGAGTTGCATTACAGTACTCCACTTTCACAAAGTATAGTCTGGGTGGTAAAGATTCTATGATATTTATTTGATGACTATATCACGTTATTCAGTAAAATTTCCTGGTTTTTAAATTATTTGATATATTGATATAGTCTTAAACATAGTTTAGTATAAGATAATTTTTAAATAATATGCAATTGAATTGTAGTGTACTTTAAATTTGGTATTTTTATTACAATGAAATATTTAGTTAATTCGATGGGTTCCAGGTCACATTGTTTGAGAAAGTAATCTGGTTGAATATTTATTGCTGATGCCCATCATTGTTTAGATTATACAGGTATTAGATTAACATCATGTTGCCCCTTTAGGCCATTTATGTGATTGTTGTTTGGTGTAATAAAGTTGAGTATTCGAAACAACTGAGTATCTGACGTACCATCTAGTAAAGCGAGTATCTTATAGGTAGCGCGTAGTTAACAAGATTTTTGCTTTCAGTAATTCATACCTCGTAGCCGTGGCCTTACACCATATATTTAAAGGTCCAGTGGGGTCTAGGGTCAAGAAATAAAACTTTGTCTGTATTCAACTCCATATAGAAATGAATGACTAGTCTGAAGTTAAAGGCTGCAAAAACAGACATTCCATGGTACACCCATCGTTGATTGACGACGTCCTCCTCCAGCGAATGGGTAGATAGAAGGGTAATTATACAAGCATCTTGAGCATAAACCCGCCCGTCCGAGGAGGGTGTTCACCTTCAAGGTATGTTTTCCTTATATTTTTTATCGGACTTGTCTTACAAAAATGGCAAATTCTAAATTAATTAACTCAGGTAAAATAGCTTAAGCAAACTATTATGAAGAACTTGTGAAGCATTATATTTTAGTTAGATATATGAAAACTGGATACCTTCTTAGCAAGTAAGAATTCGGAAAGACTACAATGTTTTAAGTAAATTAGAATATGTCTATGCTATAATCAAAACGTAAAATAATGAGTTAGATTAAACACTAGATAAATAAATAAGCCATTACAAAAGCAATGAAGAAAATAGTTGTAAATAATATTTTAGTTAATGCTGTTGTTTTGTTTTTGACCAAAGTAATCATATAAACATTTAATGATAAAATCGAGAAACCAATCCAGGTTTTACCTGTGTCCATGGCGAGTATTGTTAGTACGTGCTCTGCTTGTTGTTCTCTGTCTAGCTTCTTCATCGCGGTAATTTCTCCCGAAGTAGAGTTGATGTTGAAGAGATGTTTGTCCCCGTCCTTGATGAGATAATGTATGTGAGTATTGGGTAGTAAGTCTGCATCCTGGGCCACTATGGTAAAGATGGGAGTGGGGACGTGATTCAGATTTTCCATTACGTGAACCTCATAGGGAGAGTTTTGAAACTTTGGTGGATTGTCATTAATATCTGTCACCACTATCGTCACAGTAGCAGTGTCGTATCGAATGTCACCGGCGTTGTCTTCTGCTTGCACCGTTAATATATAACGATTTTTCCGTTCATAGTCCAGATTTTTGCTGACTCGAATAGTGCCCGTATCTTCACTTATGGTGAAATCGTGATTGGGGTCACCAGAAACAATAGAGTAGCGGATCTGACCACTCAGACCTTCGTCTTGATCAGTAGCTGACACTTCTACTACACTCAGACCTATACTTGCATTTTCTGATACTGAAGCGCTGTACTGTGTTGGATCAAAGAATGGATTATTATCATTTTCGTCGAGAACGTCAATTACAATGTTCACAAATGTTGATCTTGGCGGAATTCCTCTGTCGTTAGCCACTACCCGGAGTTTATATTGTGACTTGACCTCTCTGTCCAAAGGACCATTAACTCGGAGAAGTCCGTCCACCGGACCAAGAGTAAACTTATTTTCCGCAGTTGGAATAAGGCTATACTCGATGTAACTGTTACGCCCCTCGTCTCTGTCAACGGCTTTCACCGCCATGATAACTGTATTAGCAGGAGTATTCTCGAAGACTGATGTTTTATTTGGGGAGATGAATTCTGGTGACATATCGTTGATGTCCTTCATTATGATTGTAACCTGTACAGTGCTTGATAATTGTCTCTCCACAGGCCATGCTTGATCATTAGCGCTGATTATCAAATTATATAGAGACTGAGTCTCTCGATCCAACGGCTTGACTGTGAAAATTGTTCCATTTGGAGAGATATTAAAGTGATAATTTTCATCTCCTTCCACAATGCTAAATACAATAGCCCCATTCGACCCTAAAGAATAATAGAAAAGAACCATTAAAAGTTATCTAAAGATTTATTGGAAACTCGAACCACATAGAGGAGTCCAGTTATTAGTTGTATATGGTTAAATTATTTCTTTGTTCTCCAATTTTCAAGAATATACTTTATTGTATTTTGAAACTTTCTTCTTGACAAGTCTAATTAAATAAATCAAAAACGTTGAATAATGATTTCCAGGATATTACATTCTAATCTATCTTTTGTCTCCTGCAGGTTATTGAAACCGAAACGGATAAATTAAGAGGGATTTAAAACAACAACAAAAACATCTACAGTTAACGTGGTTCTTAGCACAAATTTTAAGCCTAATGGTTTCTAGTGCTTCATTAGCTTTCGGCATTTAAACCGCAACAATATTTTAGCAATATTTGAAAAATATAGTATTACGTTACGATGTAGTTTTTTTTAAAAAAAGTGATGAGTTAAGTAGAAAATTTACATTGTCTATCATTTGTGGAATAAAATCTGCGAATTTTAAAATCCGAGCATGAAACAGGTCAAAGTGTCAATATCTCTGGGGACGAAAACAGAAAGAACGAGCAGGTACTGTATATCAATGCAGAGTGCCTTCGTAGAATTTATACTATGAACTATGTGTTTCTTTGTTAAAAATTGCATGTTACAGAGAAGTAAGTTTACAACATTACCATTACTAGTTTTACACAATACGATTAATAATGTTAAAAATTCTAAATCTTTAATAATGATGAATTAAAAGATACACAATTTAACAATAATAGTAATAATAATTCTTTCGTGCTCTTATAGTGCTGACAGGCTAAAAAGTTCAGAGTCGCAGACATTTCTTCCCGATGTTTCGATTATGTACCTCTATTAAGCAGTAGCAAAGTCTATATATATCTTGCTGTTGATTGCATTAATATCTGTACAATAATCCAGTAACAATGATGCAATTCCAAAATATTATTGATTGAAGCATTATATTTATTTATTTTTTGAAGTATAAGATCACGAACTGATTTTGAAAAAAAATTACAGATTATTCTTATCACCTAGAAATATTGGCATACTTGCATTTATAGTCTCAATATATCTGATGAACGCAATGGCCAAGAAACGTTGATTTTGATGTATAAACTTTCTAAGTGGTAAAGATAAAACACATTTTGCAAGAGACATCACGTGCAAGATTACCACTTCTTTTTAGTGTTATATACATTATGGTAATTAATGTATGGGCAGTTAAGTCTCTAAACATCGCATTGAATTCAAGGGTTGTATCTAGATAATACACACACATATTGGTGTATGAATATAGGTTAGTTAGAGTAATAATTCACTGTTGTTCTTGTAATTAAACATTAATTTCCAGTTTCTCTTGTCGAATGAACTCTTTATGTCCTATGCAGAAGATAGGGAAGTGAAATAGAATATAAATATTTTGATTCTAATTCCTCTAGATAACAAAGAAATAAGCTAGGCTAGAATATGGTATTTACCGAGGTTTTCTGTAAGAGTAGACATGAATAACTTACCTGAGTCCAGATCAGTTGCACTGACAGTGATAATACTGGAGCCAACTGTCACGTTCTCATACACTTCGTCACTGTAACTCATGGGATCAAATAGAGGGGCGTTGTCGTTCAGATCCAACACGTTGAAATAAACTGTAACAGTACTAGACAAACTTGGATGTCCAGAATCTTGGGCTTGGACGATAAAGATGTAATGCTGTACCTAAATAGTAAAGCGAACAAATGATAAACACAAAGACTTTCGGTTTGAAGCTTAACAGCGTACAAGAGTTAGGACAATAAAGATTTAATGTTGTACTTATAAATAAAGAAAGTGAACAAAATCCACAAAGAACCTGGGAAGAAGCAATGATACTGTTTATTTAAGTTAAACAAAGCGAATGGATCTGAAATTTGTTTTACCTGTGGTAGTAAAATATGTCCTTTATTTTTACGAGTAAACGTTAATTTTCTGTGTTTTGCAACGTCGACTATAAGGCTACGTTATTTACATAAAACTTTTTTGAGAATTATTGCTTTCCGAGCAATGTGAGTTTAATGAAACTAGTTTGTTTGTTTTGGAATTTCGCGCAGAGCTACACGAGGGCTATCTGCGCTAGCCATCCCTAATTTAGCAGTGTAAGACTAGAGGGAAGGCAGCTAGTCATCACCACCCACCGCCAACTCTTGGGCTACTCTTTTACCAACGAATAGTGGGATTGACCGTCACATTATAACGCCCCCACGGCTGAAAGGGCGAGCATGTTTGGTGGGATGCGGATTCGAACCCGCGACCCTCAGATTGTGAGTCGAGCGCCTTATCCACCTGGTTATTATATATGTAATCTTTAATCACAGAATGTAGTGGTCTTTGACATTGTCAATAAATTTGCATTATTCAGTTTTAACAAAATATTTCGGGGAATACCATTTATTTTACTTATTTTTACTGTAAGTTAACAGTGATATGGTAATTCACAGAACACTTTATTGACAGCAATTTATATTTTGTCGTTGCTTTTAATTTCTTGCACTGGAATAAATTGAAAGATTAAGCAATAGATTTAAAGCTCAATAATAACTGCAATATTATGATTAATAGTTGTTACAAAGTATTTAGGTTATGCAAATTAATAATATGAAAACACATCTTTTCCATTTCTAGTGATTACCGTAACGTCTTGTTTCAGTTACTAAGAATTAGAAAAACAACAATAAAAACATATTAACTTTTATTAAAAACGTTTTAGTACTTTATGCTAAGATGCCATAGAATTAACAATATGAACATTTCTGGCAGAAATCCAACAAACTTTTGACTGATACAAACAAAACTATAGAGTAATTATGAACTACAACCAGCAAAACGTTCCCCGTAATTGATTTTATGAACTGATTAATTTGATACCAGAAGATAAGTTGACACATAGTAGCGATGTATATAATTGAACTTTATATCTTTTGTTTGTTTTGGGTTCTAAAACTTATAGTATTTTCAGATCGTTCAGGGAACTTATGTTACGGTAATAATCTAAATACGTCTTTAAAGTTATTTATAGTTTTTGTGTTAATTATAATGTACGGTTCACTTATTAAAACCATAATAAATAGCGCTTACCATTTTTCAATTATTAACAATACTTTTGAGTTTCGTATAAATATGTTTTAGATAATAATGTATATAAGGACTCCATACATTGAATTTCACAGCCAATTATTATGCAGTAAAAACAACAATATACATATTCGATGACGAGGAACCCACTTTGAGACTAATAATGGCTGGAGACGGCTTAAATGGGTAATGAAGAAAAACTTTAATATAAGCTTAACATGACAGCAAATGTACAACGTTTCGACAAGGTTTTGTCATCATCAGGTACCTGATTGGTAAAAGAGTAGCCCAAGAGTTGGCGGTGGGTGGTGATGACTAGCTGCCTTCCCTCTAGTCTTACACTGCTAAATTAGGGATGGCTAGCGCAGATAGCCCTCGTGTAGCTCTGCGCGAAATTCCAAAACAAACAAACTAGTTTCATTAAACTCACATTGCTCGGAAAGCAATAATTCTCAAAAAAGTTTTATGTAAATAACGTAGCCTTATAGTCGACGTTGCAAAACACAGAAAATTAACGTTGGTGTACGTAAATTGAATACGTCCAATCAAATATATTCAAATATTTCTGGGTACGACCAACAGGATATAGTCCGCTTAGCTTTCAAAAACAGATTCCATATAAAATTACAATCAAGTAACAAGAATAAAAAACATGATTGACTAACAAGGGCAATTTTTAACAGTGTTTTATGATATGGTGAAGCTGATAAACCTAATCTATTTTTATATATTAGAAAACGGCCTATTTTATTCTAGCTATCTAGTTTCACTGATTTTAGTTATAGCTTATCAAAATACATGGCAGGTACGATAATATACCAGATCGCTGTCATTTGTAACTACTCGGTTCAGGTTCAATAAAATCTAATGCAAACACTCATGTTTGTAAAATGCACATTTTAAACATCTAACTTCATGCAAAGCATTGAGAAAAACGTATTTTAAGATAATATAGAAATTATAAGTTCACGACACGAAATATGTAAAAGCAAGAATTATTGAGTATTTTTTAGTACGAATAACTCTTCTTCATGTTATTTTTACATGTAAGATTATTATAAGCTTCGCATATGCTATGGCATCAACATAATGTTCGAAATATTCTTTTAAAATAATTAACATAAAAGTTATTTTTCTTTATTTTTTAAAGCGATATGCATAGTATTTCTAGGTAATACAAATAAGCTTTAATTTTTTGATGATTCAAACCAAAATTAATTAAGATTTTGACTAAAAATTACTAAAACGATCTCTCACAAGTTAAGATATAAATAAAGGCGAAAACTATTAATTCTTTAAAATAAAAGTGTTCAATTTGGAATAATATAAATGATTTCATAATACATTGTTATCTAGTAATTGTGATAACATATATGTATTTTAGTGAAGAAAATGTTTTGGTATTTGAGATAAACAATGCATGCCTGTCTGGATACAGAACAAACACCTTATTGAAAAGTAGATCCGAATATAATACATAGCCCAAATTAATTCGCAATTACTGAATGGTTGGAATTAAATTAATTTCATTTGAAAACAAAGGTCATCAGCCATCTTGTAATAGAATAACAATTTATTAGTGTTGTTTTTAGTACAAATATACACTATCTGTGCTCTATCAACCGCTGAGAGTCGAACCACGGATATTAGCGTAAAATAAAATTTGGTGAAGAACATCTACTTATTGTGGCAATATTTTCCAATACATATGAGGGTTGCACATTTCTTCATCAACATGGTTAAGTTGTATATTATGTAATATTTCAAGCAGTTCTAGTATACTGTGTTTTTTTCTTAAAACTGTGCTTATTTCTGTATCGCGTGAAATTAGCTAAAACGTCAAATACTAGAAATGAATTAAATTAAAGAAAATCAGATGTTTAGCATCTTGAAGATAGAAATTGTTGGTTTTGGTTTTTTTCACATACCGTATATTGTTACAAAGAAAAATCAATTTTAAGATCATAAATGTTAATATATATGGTCAAAACGAACAAACCTGTTCATAATCTAAGTGAGAAGTAAGCGTAAAAACTCCGCTCTGTGGATTCAGGGAAAACACATCGTTACCCCAGTCACTAATAACACTGTAGCTAACCTGACCGTTAATACCGACGTCAGCATCTGTAGCACAGACAACCCCAACCTCAGCTCCTCTCTGGATCTCTTCGGGTATGTCGAAAGAATAGACGTATTTTTTGAACTCGGGAGGATTGTCGTTACTGTCTGTAACCTATTACGAGAAGCAGTTTTAATTAGTATCCATATAATTTTCTTGAAACACTTTTTTTTTAAATAAATACATTCTTTATTTTTGTTCAGATTGTTCTACGCATCATTTTTATTCACTTTATTCATCGTACTTTTAATCTCAGATATTTGTGTTTTTTACTTCGGTTTATTACAACGTCAACATTCTTGCAACGCGGTGGATAAACAAGTTTTTGTAATAATGTTTTAGCTATACCCACGATTTAAATCTACTTCAATAATGTAGCTTCGTTACTGAAGTACACATTTTGTAACTGGTTAAAAATTTAAGAAATCTTACTCGAATATTTTTACGTATTTTGAAAGTCTGAAGCATTTAGAAGTAGTGTTTACGTAGCAATTTGTGGTATTAAGCTGTAAAATGGGCATCAACAGAAATAACTAATATGATTAAAACAGGTGTTCGCTTTAAGTGTTTGGCTAAATACGTAATATATAACATAATAACTCACATTAAATATGGATTTTAAGTTATGATTCATACAACAGTTTATTCAACAATTTATAAGAAACCCAGAGCCTAAAAAGTAAATGAAGAGTTAGACAGCTTCAAACAATTTTTTTTGCAATGAAAGAGTACCAAGATGCGTGCAAATAAGAACTAATATATAGTTAAGTTGTTTAAACAATGCTTCTATAGATGCTACATGATACACATTTTTAGCTGTCCTTGCTATATACGTGCTTGATATTAACGTTGATACAAAACTTTCAACAGATACTTCAGGTATTAGTTTTAAGTTTATAAACGCTAATATTTTAGTCTTTTTTTTTCCCTAGCTTGTTTAATATTTTTATATTTATATATATTTGTGAGTATCATATTTTTTGTTTGAACGTTTAGCGTCTATTAAGTACTACATTGCTGTAATTTACATAGGAACTGTTCAAGTGATGACAGGCTCATTATTCCTGATACATTTGAAACATCTGCATTAAAAGGTATTTCTTGTGAACAAAATGAATATAAAATGTATAAAAATAGCCTACGCACCTCTATAGTAATCTTAGTTTCAGATGTCTGGATTCCATCAAACGCTTGTATCATAAATTGGTGTGTTTCTTCCGTTTCACGGTCCAACGGACTCTTTAAAAGAAGAACACCGCTCTGGGAGTCGAATTGAAACTTAGATGAATGATTATCATCTACCAAGGTGTAGGAGATGGTTCCCTCGATGTCAGGATCAACGGCAGATATTGTAGTCACAGTATAACCCGGTGGGACATCTTCAGACAATAATATCTTGTACGGAGGGTTTACAAATACTGGGGGACTATCGTTTCGATCTTGGATAGTGATGGTAACCTGTTAATAAATATTATTCTGTTAAGTAATTAGATATCTGAATTTGCGGTAGTAAAAACTACAAACAGAGTTATGACATTTTGATTCTAAATTGATGTCAATTCTTGTTTGTTGTTTTATTGAAGAAATATGGTAAATGTTTAGATATCAGCGAATAAGAACAAATATAATGTGTTGGTATTTTCAATTTGAACCCCAGCTTCTGGGACACATGGATTAAACGGTTAGGTTAGAGATACAAGCTTCGGACATAACCTAATTTATAACTGCTGATTAGAGGGAGGACAACCAGTTAGCAACACTCGCCGCACACACGGCTACTCTTAACTTACTCTCAGCTGAAAGTGCAAAGCGTGTTTACCTTATATCATGGGCTCGAACCTTGGACACTCTGATCTGTAGCCTGGTACACTAATCATTAGGCCACACCATATCACAATAAATGGAAAGAAAGAAACAGCAGCCTCCACGTTTTGAGCCTAAACTTCTTATCACTTTTGTTCAGTTATCTTTAAAAATTTTATCATCTTTATTTAAAATTTCATTTTGGAACATATCCTATTTCAACCATGAAGTTCATGCAGTAAACCATATTTGATTTTGACGCAGAACTCCGATCTTCCTGTAATTTAAAATGAAATAAAAACTATAATGCCGAAATATTTTAAAATTGGATCTTGGGGATACAGACTTCAAAGCAAATTAAATTAGAAAAAACAACATAATTGACAACACATGTTCATAATATTAAGTTCGTAAATGAAATTGTGTTTGGGATAGGATTTTTAACACGTACATGTTCGAGAAATTATGAATTAAGGAAAATGTTAACTGCAGCTTAATCTACGATAACTACAAACGAGCAAAAGTAAAAAGTTAGAAATTTTATCTTTCATTTCCTTTTTCTAGTTATTATTTTTTCCACTTTTATTTGACACACTTTTAAAAATAAAATATTTATTTATTTCCATTATGCTGATAGTCTATCAGACCATTTTCATTAAACGTACATTTATATCATAATGATACACTTATTTTCAGCTATTTTTTCCGTAACATGTTGTCAACTATCTCACACATTAATAAGAATTTGAGAAAAGGTACATTTGAATTAATCTTTAGAGAATTAACATTTTATTACAATTACTTGTGCTAGAAACCGGGTTCGATACCTGTGGTGGGCAGAGCACAGATACCCTATTGTGTAGCTTTGTGCTTAACTTCAAACAACAACAATTACCTGTATATTTATCAAGTTACAACTAGAGATTCCATGTTTCGAATTTTTTATGGTCTGTCGGTGAGTCAGCGGTAAGTCTACAGACTAAAATCTGGGGTTCGAAATCCCGTGGTGGGCAGAGCGCATATAGCCCATGCTATTGCTTGGTGTTAAAATAAAACAAACTATCGACTTTTTTAATGATGGTACAAGTGTACCATCAAAACCTTTTCTACGCAAAAGTTGTTGATTATTCAGATTTTTTCAACAGAAACTAAAAACCAATGTATATAGCATCTAAAATATTTCCTAAACAATATCTTGTGGAAACATATATATCTTCAAGGTATAAGATTACTTCAGCTTAGTACATTTGTGGCAACACCTAAAACTAAAAACCAATGTATATAGCATCTAAAATATTTCCTAAACAATATCTTGTGGAAACATATATATCTTCAAGGTATAAGATTACTTCAGCTTAGTACATTTGTGGCAACACCTAAAACTAAAAACCAATGTATATAGCATCTAAAATATTTCCTAAACCACTATCTTGTGGAAACATATATATCTTCAAGGTATAAGATTACTTCAGCTTAGTACATTTGTGGCAACATCTTGCCGCTGTAATTTCTAGTCCGTATTGAATAACCAGGAAATGAACTTTGAAACTATGGACTTTAGTTTATTTTGAAGGAAAGAACTATGGAATGGGTATCGAACTGATAATTCTTCAGCACTGGCTATAAAATCGTGCTACAAATGTTGATATATTATTAAATGTTGCTATTTTACTATGTTACTTATCTTATGCCATTATGTAACAGTAGCACCAGTCTTTATAAAACTTTGTTCGACATATTCATAGACAATTGATAGATAAATGGATAGGCAGAAAAAAATAGGGTGGGTGGGGACACCTTTATAAAGCAGCCGCCTCAAGGACATATCTTGTGGACTGACACGGCTAAGGTAAAAACCAATCAGCAGAACTCCGCCACCATTGTGCTCAGATGGAAGATGGAGAAGAGGCCAACCACGGTTGACCCCAGTTTTTGACACTCCATTAATCTCAAAGCCGGCTCACTAATGAATCACCTAGCTGTCAGAAAGTAAAGGGGTCTGCGTAGTTATAGGGTCAGACGAAATAGCGTGCATCAGTGTAAACGGTAGCACTAGTCGTTTACATACATGATATTGAAGCCTATCTTGTTTAACTTCTTATTGGAAGTATGAATAAAACAAGAAAAACAAGAAACGATGGAACATATCAGCGCGACAACATAAGATCAAGTGGATGAACAACGTCTTTGTATCTGAGTGCGCTTTGCACATTGTCAATTTCACGAAACTGTGCATACTGTGTAGTATCTTAGAGCTACTTTACCTTTAGTTGACTAAACGTAAAATGTGATGTTTAACATATGTGCAAAGTGTTTATGTCATCTTATCTGACTGACTAAAACTAGCAGAAAGAAAAAATGATTCGTGAGTTATATAATAATTATTTTTAAGTTGTAGATGATGCCGATAAAAGTTAGAATAATTGAAAATTAAAGTTGTTTTTTTATTTTACTTCTACCTAAATATTAAAGCATTAGCGACATATGTACTTTTATTCATAAAGTCACTCATCAATCACATCTTATACTTATGTCCCCCGGTGGATTAGCGGAAGTTTATAGATTGCTAAAATTCAGAGTTCGAATCTCCCCGCGGTAGAATAGCGTGTAGGTTGTCTATTTTAGTCCCCCGGTAGGTCAGCGGCAAGTTTACGAGCTTACAGCGCTAAAATTCGAGGTTCAATTTCCCAGGGTGAATATAGCAATGTTTGGCTTTGCGCTAAAACAAACAAACGAACTCTTATGATTAAAAAAAAGCGTTATACTATATAAAATAAATTCACCATGTTATAGTATAGGCGCTATGAATAAATGGTGAATGAATTTGTTTGGTTGATATAATAAAGAAGCGTAGCTTTTTCAAACACACACACACAAAATCAAAATTGCAAGCTGATCTCAATATATATCAGTTTAAAATGAAAATAATACATAAGTTTAAATAATGCAGCTTCAAAAATAAATGATTCAGTCTTGTTTCATAAACTAATAATTAACCATTGTTAATTAAAAATTAATTTTAGCTCAAGAGCTGATTACTTTGAAACAGTTTAAAAGCAAATAATTAATAACTGTTATATTCTCTTTTATTCAAATTTTTTGAAAGAGTAATTAATGATGGATTTATTTTTGGTTATAGTCTTTATAGCACCAAAACGAACTTGATTTTAAAATTTGTTGATAATTATAAAATGTTATTTCCTAGAACAGTTAACAGAGACAAATAACATCCACAGCAACCTAGTAAACAATCAGTTCTAAATTAGATGTAAATTAAGTTTAGAAATAGAGTGTTCAACGACAAATTCAGATATCTTTTAAGATATAAATAATACTTACTGTAATCCATTGTTAAATATTCAACACATTCATATGACTGTAAAAATAAATATATATATCATCGTCTATGCTTACAGACCGTAGAACTAATGTACTCACAAAACCACACATATGCTAATAAAAAATAATAAACGAAAATGTGTCTCAACTCCAACACATACATTGTTCTGAAAAGCATGTGTTTACTCACTGCTATCCGACTCTCTGCGTGTGCCATCTACGGCCCTCATTACCACAACAATGACACATCTTATTTCTCATGTATAAAAATTGACAGGGAGTTTTCTGCGAGTTCGCTTATCATACTCTAAGATCTTACTTCAAAACACAGCAGGCAGGCCAATAAATTCTTTGTCCATAATTGAAAAAAAAGGAACTGGAAGCCAACGCTATAGTGCCACTATTCGTCCTTGGGTGAAAACTGCTTTCATCAATTATACAGCATTTATTGAAATAGCTACGACACAGTCTTCAGTGTTTAAGAAAAAATACTTAAGAAATTACGCAGTGTTACATAATATTAATACAAAAAATAAACAACAATTACTCTTTACACACATGTGCAAAACTAAGTTATGAAATCGATCATGGATAGCTAAAAAAAAAAGATTCTAGGACGATTAATATTTCCAGACTGGCATGGAAGTTGAAAAAAACACTATCACACAATCTTTACCATAGAAGAACTTGACAACAGGAACATAACATTTTGGATAAGAGTCATGCATAGCTGTAATTCAAAATGCTCATGAAAGCCAATGTATATATATGCAATTAAATTGAATTTGATTTGGTTTAATTAATGCTATTTTAGCATATGTTTAACTTCTTTATTTGGGTATTGTATGTTTGAATGAATAGTGTATGATTTTATCAAATAAATGAAGTTTAACTAAACTGATGTCACTCAAACTAAATGCTAATGCATATATTACTTACATAAATTATTGAAGAATAACTTTTGAAAAGTAGCATCACTGAATTTTGAGTTCACTGAAAATTACCCAAGAAATCTTTGGCCAGCTGTGTGGCAGTGAAATATGTAGGAACATATGCTAGAGAAAACTAATTTAACTGCTTCAGAAATCAGCAACAAAAGCAGTGACATTTGGTTGCAACTGCGGAGGAAAAATAAGTTAATTACTGAGCCCTATATTTACTTTTAATTGCTATTCGGGCAATTATATTGGACATTATGCTAAATTCTGTACCATGAAATAAATGTTATACATTTAAAGGTATCTTATTACTATTATTGTTATTATTTTCTTGTTATCAATTTGTCAATTATAATTTAAAATAGGATATGAAGTATT